TAAGCTTTTAAGCACTCAGCCATCTCTCCAGTCCCAAATGTGGGGATTTTTTCTTTGTTTGTTTGTTTGAGACAGGGTTTCTCTGTGTAACAGTCCTGGATGTCCTGGAACTTGCTCTGTAGACCAGGGTGGCCTTGAACTCACAGAGATTCGCTTGCCTCTGCCTCCCACATTCTGGGATTAAAGGCGAGCACCACCACCACCTGGCAATGAGGGATTCTTAAAGCTTTTGTCTTTGTTAGCTCTATTTGTAGTTTGCATTTAAGTTCTTAATTTTGCAATTAACGAATGTGGCAATAGGTTAGTGACTATGATTAAATGACTCCTATACATATACATAACTTCAAAAAGCCCTACTGACTACTCAGAAATTATTTGCAATTACACCAGACAGTAATCTTAGAACTTAACCATCATTTTACTTTTTACAGGATCCCATAGAAATAAATCACCCCCATGAGAGCAGGAAGTAATTCTAGAAAACGACGTTCCCTCTCCCAACAAAGTTTGTCCTCAGGGTTAGGGACATTTATTGGGGTTGATTATAAGTGGTATACAGTTGGGGGTGGAAATTAAGTAGGATAAGGGATATCTTAAGGCAAAAAAGGAATTGGATGGGATAATAGGTAGATTAGTGTGAGCTTACTCACACTAATAATAATAGTGATAGTGAGAATACTTGTAAGCTATTATTTATAGAAAACTTATATTGGTATAGATTCTTGTATATTGATACAAATTCAAATTATATTTGTTATATTGAATATTCTCCTATTTCTTTTTACAACATTTGTGTACCTATGCAAAGTTATTTTATCATATTGTATGCGTACATGTTTCTACCTCTGCTTAAGATACTTTGTATACTGATACAATTTTGGAATATATTTATCATATTGCACTATACATTTCTACCTCTGATCAAAATATTTATATATTGTTTACATTTGGAGGTCACTGTCCCAATTTGCTTCACAGTTGTTTAAAGTTTTTTTTACTATTTTAATATAAAGCCTTAGTCTTTAAGCTATATAGGTATTAAGAATTATAGAACAATAGTCATCCTTGTTTGTCATACTTATGGTTATACTAGTCAGGTACTTTAGTTACATACAGATTAGATTCTGCATAGATAGATAATCTTCATCCACTTCAAAGAGCTGTAAAACATGGCATTTAAATAACTTAGTATTCTGTTGATGTGAGACACATTTGCTCCTGGCAGCACCAATCTATTCCTGAGAGAATGTTGGGCACTGAAGACACTCCACTTGGAGTTTGTTTTCTTGGTAAAACTGGCCTTTGAACAAAGAACTGCCCCTGCTCAACTGCTGACAAAATGCATGGCGTCCAGACTGGACAAGCAGAATACAAGCAAAAAGACTGTCAAACCTTGCCAAAACAGGGTAAGACAGTTTTGAAAATTTTCCTGCTTCTGAAAATGGTCTGTCAGATACTTTAGACCTTAGCCAAAGATGGTTGCTCCAGTGTTGCAAATGAGACTTTGGGTGATTGCCCAGGTAGTCTGTTATCTCTGTCATTTCTTACACCTTTTGGAAGTTGCTTGATTGTGCTTCCTGTTTACTCAAGTAATATTATTTCCCTTTTCAGGACTTTTATGGGGTTGAAGACTAGATAGCCATAGTTACTTTCCTCTCATGACTTAACCAAGCCATTTCTAATATAAGACTTAGGCTGCTTAGAATAGGATAACTATTAAAACATTTAGCATATGTTTCTTGCTTGATATTGTTTATGCTTGTTGTAATTCTAATTTTTATACTTGATATTTTTTCCTATTATATATAGTTTTGTATTGGGTTTGGAACTCTTATTTAGACAAAATGGGGAGGTGCTGTGGAAACTCCTTCAGCCAATGGCCTTTGGGAGGCTGGCCCACTTTGGCCATAGTCATATGTACTATATATGCAGATATAGGGGCACATGAGACTCGTTGGCTGCTGGATTTGGTTCTAGTTCCCTGCTCACGCAGAGGACTACTGGTCACTGCTTTTTATGTGAGACTACCCCTAAATAAATAAACCTTTATTATACTCCATTCTGGGCTAGTGTGGGACTATTTTATTATAAATTGCAGTACTTATATCCTCCAAAAGTTCATTTTTTACCAACAGGGGATATGGTCCAGATTTTCAGATAAACTCAAATTCATATATAACTTTTACATTTATTTCCCCACTAACCATTATCTTATGATCTTTCACTCAATTTCCAAAATGATTATCATGCAAAATATTGAGATGCTTTTATTTTTTTTAAAAATCAAAACTTTAAGTAACTTTTAAATAAATAATGTGATAATAAGTCTTGCACCATTTTATATCATTTTAAACAGGCTAATTTCTTCCGATTTTTATTTAATACTTGCTTCATTAATACATTATACCTGTTTTTAAAAATACACTGAATGTCAATGTGCTGTGGGATAATGCTCTTGTACATTGTAAAGATTTGTCACTCATATTGGTTTAATAAAACACAGACTAGCCAGTAGCCTTGGAGGAAGTATAGGTGGGACAACCAGGCTAGGAGAATTCTGGGAAGAGAAAAGGCAGAGATGCAGTCACTAGCCAGATGCAGAGGAAGCAAGATGAGAATGCCTCACTGAGAAAAGGTACCAAGCCACATGGCTAAACAAAGACAAGAATTATGAGGGAATATAAGTCATAAGAGCTAGTTAGTAATAAACATAAGCAATAGGCCAAACAGTTTATGATTAATATAAGCCTATGTGTGTTTTTTGAGACTGAATGGCTTTGGGACTGAGTGAGATAGAAACTTGTGTTTTAGAAAGTATGAAAATGAATATGACTAATAATATTAATACTACTGCTCTGCGATTATATATGTGCAATATTGAGATAAGAAAGAAATCACATGCAAAATCAGAATGAGTATATAGACTTATAACTGAGTAGGATGGCTAAGTTCTAAAATTAATTACAAACATATATGTACAAAAATTTAAACTTTGGGTTTTTTTTTTTGTTTGTTTGTTTTTCAAGATAGGGTTTCTCTATGTACCCATGGCTGACCTAGAACTCACTCTGTAGACCAGGCTGGCTTTAAACTCAGATCTGCCTGCTTCTGCCTTGCGAGTGCTGGGATTAAAGGTATGAGCCACCATCGCCCAGCTAAATTTAAACTTCTCAACAGACTATGAAATGAAGGCAATATAAATACTAGAATATAAACAATAATATTATATAGTTCTGCTTCAACCAATATGTGTAAGTATGGACTTTACAGTGTTTCTTTTTTCTTTCTTACCATCATTTAAAACTATTCTGGCCTGGTGTGGTCATACCTTATCTTGACCTTTGAAAGCCAGTCTCCCTCTGAGTTCTCCATACCAATGAGTGACATTCCCATCTACCCAGGTCAAAGGCCAGAGACTTAGGCTGCATCCTTCACCTTTCTCGTTCATTACTCAGTAACCAGTCAGTCAGTCACAAGTCTTATGTTTCACATAGGCTGAATATTTTTGAAATTGCTTTTTCCTCTCCATGATCACCAACTTGGCTCGTACTCCAGTCGGTCCCTCCCAGTGCAGATGCAGGTGTTCTTTCTGGCCCTAGTGTTTCTGCTCAGAGTCCTCTCCCCCCCTGTATGCGCGGCTCTCACTCAGCAAGCCCATCCTGGTCCCTTCCCATAGGCATTCCCCCTAACCCCTCCTCCTGGAGTCAGTTCTCTTAACTGGTGGTAAGGTGTCTCTCAATGTGCTTCATTGTCACCTATGCCCTCCAGGATTACTTTCCATATCATACATGGAATGTGTCAACTGCCCACCAGACTTGGAGCTCCAGAATGGCGAAGGCTGCTTTTTTGCTTTGTGCATCAACAATTTCCCAGTGTCTGGTCTGGTTCTTTTCAGGTGCTCCTAATCTTGGCTGAATTAATAATACGGAATTGTAAAAAGGAATTCTAGGCCTTAGCTGTTGCTAGTTACTCATGCATCAGGCACTTTGCTTTGGTAACTTGGGTTGTTCTCACTGATTTCCATTTTGCTGTTTGCTTTTGCTGTCTCAGTGTTACCCAGTTTAGTTCAAGTGCCAACATGTTCAAAATGCACCACCCCCAGGAGTCAGGGTTCCAGCCACACATGAGCCAGTGAGGGGAGAAATGGAGCAGAGAACCCCAAAGGGAAGGGAAACACAAGGGCACAAAGGCTACAGGGCCCAGCTGCGTTTCTCTACTGGACCTAGCTCCTTCTAGAACTCGCCTGTTATGCCAGAGTCAGTGAGCTTCAAACACTAGTGTGTGTTTCATTTATCTGTATTAAACTAATGCCTGAGGTCTCCTCACCACATTCTAAAAATACCATTCTAGTCAGGGGTTTTATGAAATTGACCTTTTTTGTTTTGCTTTTTGAGAGAGGGTTTCCCTGTATTGTCTTGGCTGTCCTGGAACTCACTCTGTAGACCAGGATGACCTCGAACTCAGAGAGATCCGCCTACCTCTGACTCCCAAGTGCTGAGAATAAAGACATGTGCCACCACAGCATGGTGAAATTGACATTTTTTCACCTTATTCTATAAAGAACCGCACCCTTTTTAAGGATCTGAAGGAAGCATGTTGCAAAGTCCTCTTCTAAAATGGGACTTTGCATGCCATAAAAGGAACTAACTTGCCCTCCCTCTACCTCACATCACAGGCTCAAAACTTGGTGAACAACTGTGTTTTCACCAGAGGATCCGAACTCCCACAAGAGGTTTTCCCAAATAACATTCTTGGTGAAAAGTCTCTTGGGCAAGGCCATCACTATACCCAACTCCCAAGGCCACTCGATCCGATGCGCATCACTCACTGCACTGGGGGACCTAGAAAAAGATATCTACCTCCTGTTCTCAGCCCTCCACTTCTTTATGGCAGTGGTTCAGGGCCATTGGGGGATTCATATTTCTAACTCAAACCAAAACCTTCCCAGTTCTTTAGCTCTCAAACACAAACCCAGAATGAAAAGAAAAGTCGTGTCTTACCAGGGTCCAGAAAGGGTTGGCATTCACCATTAGCACTGTAGCTCAGCTCCTGTGGCCCTGCTTGTGGCATCCAGGCATCTGGCACCGGGGGCTCCTGGACAGGTTCCATTACTTGGAGCGCAGGTGCCTCCAGGTGCAAGGTGGATGGCATGGGTACTGTTCCAACTGGTGCCAGTTCTTCCAAGAGCATGTCATCCATGTCAATCTGAGAGAGAGGCCACACACATCACTCCCGAGTTGAGACTCCACTGGAACTAAAGCCAGTTTACCACTTTCAAAGTCAGCCATTCCTCACCAACAGTACCATGAGCCACAGATGTAGCTTTAAGGTCTCCAGGGGTTCTGGGAGGCAATGCATTAAAAAAAACCAACCAACCAACCAACCAACCAACCATCAACCAACAACAGGTAAGTTGACTGTACCAGGATGGCCTTATTACAACATCTACAAAGTATCAGGATTTCAATAGTAATCAACACAAATAATTCCTAGTGAGTTATTCCACCTGCTCTTTCCTTCATACAAAGTCTCTGGGGAGTGTGCTCACAGCTGATCCAGCTGCACTGTTAAGTGCATTTAAGTGATCAAGTGCCAGGAGTGGTTTGCAACTCTAGAGATGTGCAGAGATGCCCAGACCTCCCAAAGACAAAAATCATCTATTTTCACCCAAACCAGGAAGCTAAGGAAAGTAATGAAAACTACATCCTAGGGATGCAGGGACCTTGGTGATTTCCTAGGCAAGCCACTACTTGCAGTGAAGCCAACTGCTCTAGTAATCTGTGTCCCAAGCCCCAGAGATTGTGAATGTCAGACAGAAGCTCTTGCTATTGCCTTCTGGGAAAAGTGCCCTGTGTTCAGCTTGCCCTGTGTTCACTGATGGTTTCCCTAGCAGAAGCGTCCAGGGGTGGTACTGAATACAAGGCAATATGCGGGCAGCCGGTGCTACTGGAATTTAATGGGCCAGCAATGGGCACATCACTTACAATCAGAGCTCTTCCTACACTCTCCCAAACATGGGACTCCTTCTTCAAATCTTCATGTAGAGAAAAAGAACCTAGTATGAACCACATCCTGGTGATCAGGCAGAAACTGAACAGCTTTTGCACATTTATTAGTTTAGAACTTTTGTGCGAACCAGAGAAAACCACAGATTTTCTTTTCCTTTACCAAGAACTGATTTTTTGGCCACTCTGTACAATCACATCACCAGGGACAACACTGCTCATAGCACTGGAGCCTTGCTCAGAATTCCTGACTGTCCCATCACAGTAATTGAAAGCAGAGGGGTTGGCATGTGACCACTTCATGTCCTCCCATGCAGTGATCACATGCACTGGAGAAATGCATATCAGTTTACACTAAACTGCGCTGCCTTCCTTGTACTCTCTCTAGACTCTACTTGACTCAATGCCAGCCAGATCATTCTGGAAAGAAACAATAGTAAAGAGTTTAGAATGTGCAGGCCACATTCACCCTATCCTCTCCTCCTTCTGTTTTGAAAAGAAAGTCATTAACAAAGTAAAAACCCCTAGAAACTTAGTGGTCACAATCAATCATACCATGACAGGAACTGGCTAGGAAGCCATAGAGCAGAGTATGGATAACTGTAATTGATGTTTCTAGATAAGCTATGCTGTCTGCAAATTTCATTTAATAATACCAAATGGGGCATTCTCATATGTGTGTCCTAGAGAGGGCATGGGGTCAGATACAGGGGAGAATCTCAGACCCACATGCTGATTCCAGCAGAAGAGAACCCTGGAAAAGTCTCTGGAGAAGTTTTGGGGCTGTGGAATCAGAGTCAAAATGATGGCTACAGACCCCTGGCCTGGGTACCTCTTTTTGTTCCCCTAAGAACAGAGACTCCACATTTTTTTTTCTCACCTGTGGTTCTGGTATCTCAAGCTCTCTCTGCAAGTCTTCAATGAGGGACACAACTCTTTCTCTATTGTCTGGGCAGTGTTCCCTCACCCAGGTCTCTATTTCTGTGGGGAGAATGGTTAGGAATTGCTCGAGCACAAGCAGCTCCAGGATTTGTTCCTTAGAACGCATCTTTGGCTTCAGCCACTGACAACAAAGCTCCCAGAGTTTGTTGAAGGCTTCATGAGGCCCCGCAGCTTCTGTGTACTGGAACTGCCTGAAGCGCTGGCGGAAGACCTCACAGTCTGTGTCATACTCTTGCAGGACAGAGCCCTGGTTCAAGGAGGCCTGGATTGCACAACCCAGGGCCACAGCTATCACCTCTTCGAGAGTTTTACAGTGTATCTGGGGTCTATGGCTCAGAGTCCAGGTTTTTCCTCTCTGTAATGATCTGGGGGAGCCACCTACAGCTGAAGACAGGAAAACATAAAAAGGAGAAAAAGCAACAGTTACAAGATGGCACACTCACCGTCTTTAACTTACTTAGATTTGCTTTCTCCCACAAAAACTTAAAGGAGCACTTCACAGTCTTTTCTGGCGGTTTTGCAAGTCAGATAGAAGCTGGGGACGCACCTCCCAGAACAACACCTATAGACACAATCAGTTTCTAATATTTCTAAAAATCTCAAGAGCTTCCCCACATATCCTCTAGAACATGCTATCCAATATGATAATAACAACATATGGTATTCTAAGTTTAACCAAAAATTCAACTTACTTTCTCAGTTATGCCACATAAATTTAAGGTGCTCAGGAAATAACATTACCAGAAGCACTTTGCTAATATCTTACAATGACAAAGGTAACTGCCTTTTTATATGTCCCCACTATCCCCAGTCTAATCCCAAGTCTTTTTTCCTATAGGGAGATTTCAAAAAAAAAAATAGGGATAATGCAACACTTCTGAAATAACTAAAAGTGTCAAGACATTTTAGTGTGATCTGTGGGGTCACAGGGTTGGCCATATCTGTACATACAGGTATACTATGGACCCCCCCCATCTCTCTGCATTTGTTGAGGCAGTACCGTATATACCTGTCTTATTTAAGATTTCTGATGTGAGTCAAGAAAAAAATAGTCCGATTCTCCTCCCATTCAGTCAATTGATCCGAAACTGACTCCTTATCACCCGTCACTGTGGGCAGGAACCTATGCTTCCCGTTACTGTGACAGTAACCTATGTATGCTTCCCGTCACCCTGACAGTGACCTATGCCTCCCGTCACCGTGACAGTAACCTACTTATGCTTCCCGTCTTCGTGACTGTAACCTACGTATGCTTCCCATCACCGTGACAGTGACCTATGCTTCCCGTCACCGTGACAGGTAACCTATGTATGCTTCCCGTCACCGTGACAGTAACCTATGCATGCTTCCCGTCACCGTGACAGTGACCTATGCTTCCTGTCACCGTGACAGGTAACCTATGTATGCTTCCCGTCACCGGGACAGTAATCTATGCATGCTTCGCGTCACGGTGACAGTAACCTATGCATGCTTCCCGTCACCCTGACAGTAACCTATATATGCTTCCTGTCACCATGACAGTCACCTATGCTTCCCATCACCGTGACAGTAACCTATGTATGCTTCCCATCACTGTGACAGTAACCTATGTATGCTTCCTGTCACCGGGACAGTGACCTATGCTTCTGTGGCAGGGGTTAGGCATAATTTTCTGTGTAATCCTCACACCCAAATGCCCCTGACTGCAACACACACATAGTTATAGCATCAACTTCATTAAAATATCCTTCAAGGACCAAATGGCACCGAAAGTGAATAGCAGCGTGCCTGGCACAAGGTAAAGACTTAAGTGAAGTTTCTCGTTGGTCAAGGCTCCTTCCTAGGAAGCTTCTAGTTTCCTGAGCCCAGGCGTGTAACCGTTGCTGGAGGACACCCAAGGATCTGCAGTCTTTTGGCTGTGGACCCACTCAGTTAATCTGCTCCAGCCTCACAGCTGGCTAGCCTTTCCCTGGCTGACCCAAAACCTTCCACCACGTCTACCGGGGAAGCGACCCTCTAGGTTTCCTTTCCTGGGCCCTACCTAGTGAAAATTTCACTTCTTTAAGGAACAGTGGTTTCTCTCTCTCTCTCAGTGAATCCACCCACAGGGCCTACCCGTAAAGCAATGTAAGAAAAGAGGGCGCTTTGGGAAACGGCAGGCGTGACATGTCCCCCAAAAGCCTAAAAGCTGGCTTAAAATCCGATGCTAGTGTTAGGGATGTGGTTCCCCCAAAGCTCCTAGATGACGATGCCCGACCACCCAGATGGGCACTCCCAGTCCTGGAGGACTCCCAGCAAGGCCTGGCCGGGTCGCAGGGAGCGGCGGCGGGGTCCCTGAACGAATAGGGGCCCGCCGCTCCTCGTTGCTCCTGGGGCCTGGCGCCCAGGGCACATATGAAATTTGCCAGTTTGTGTGGCCCCAGCCAGCGAAAGGAGCCCCGCTACCCGTGCCCGCGCCCCAGGGACAGCCACGCCCTCTGGCCACTCCGGGACTCACCGCCTCTGCGCCCACGGCTCTCCCAAGCTCACCGGCAACTGCTCAAGGCGCAGGCGCGGAGCCGCGTTCAGTACTACATCTCCCGGTAGGCTCCGCGCTGCCCGCTCTTCTAGCCCAGAAGGATGCTGACGTGGGAATGGCTGGGACTCTCCCAGGCTTCCACCTAGCCTCAAGCGACTTTGGAAGAGCTCCTATTTCCGGTCTTATAGCTTCTGGGTCCTAGGGGAGTGGGTGGGACGAGCCCTGAGTCCTGAGTCAAGTAAGGACGTCTTCCCAGCAGCTTTAGAGTAATCAGTGCAGGTGGGGGAATAACTTCGTTTAAAACAGCCTTGACCCATGCAGTGATTCTCAAGCCTCGAGGGGGGAGGTTCTAGGGAAAGCATTTTAAAATTCATGTTTCTGGGCCCCACCCGACACCCTGGAGAGCGAAAGAGCTTGGAGCTTAAGGATTCGCACTTTAATAGTTTTTCTGGGATGCTGAATCTGATCTGTCTTCTCTGTGTGTCACAGTGGCCTTGGGGATACATCTTAGTTTTTTTTTTTCTCTTGAAGACTTGGAGCTTCCATCTAGCGAAACCCTCCCATTCCTCTCCACTTTGTATGGCCACCAGTGGTCTCAGGAGTTTTAGGATTAGCCCGCTGGCACTACTTCAAATTGCTCCCCCACTGTTTCCGCCCCTGGAAACAAACTTTCCACTCTCAGGATTGAGACTCAGTCCAAAGGCCACCAGATACAATGGTGCTGACTGGAAAACCACGCTCATATTGGGACCAAGCTGGGGCTATTGGTCTATGGGTGCCTGATTTTAGTGCTAGGGCTTTTTTTGTCTGCCTGAGATTCTGTATCTAGGCCTGAGTGGGCCCAAGATATCGAGGAACAAACTTCCTGTTCCTGTGTCTCCTTGAGGATCTCTTGGGAAGTGAGACAGACATGGGAGGAGTGGGGTTGTTGGCAGGCACTGAAGACAGCTCCACCCAAGCCAAAGATGTTCTCATCAGCTGAGCTGGAGCCCCTGACTCCAAAGTCCTGTGAACTCACTGCTGCTCTCTTGATAGCAAGAGTAACTGATTTCCACTAAGGTGGTATGGGAGTCTGATTATTCTTTTGATCTGAGAGCCAACTGGAAAGGGTGATTGATAGTAAAACTGCAGTTGTGTGTGGAGGTACAACCTGTCCCTGCTGGACCCAAGACACACCCCTAGAGGCTGCCCACCTATGCTTCTGAGAATTCTGTTTCCAAGAGGCGTTCTATTTTTCATTTTCTCAAAAGAACCCTTAGGCATTCCCTGGGGCACTGCCATGGGTGAATTCAGCTTAAGATGTGCATGGAGGAGCAGAGCGTGGGGATGCTGATGCCAGAGCAGTTAGTTCCTGACCGCCTGTTCTAGGAAATCCACAGCAAAGTGCAGGTGCTGTACTCAGAGAGCTGTGAAGAAGCTATAACTGTGTGTGTGCGTGTGTGTGTGTGTGTGTGTGTATGTGTGTGTGTTTAAAAAACTCATGTGATTTGTTTGGAGAGTGCTTGTAAGGTTTGGAGAGTAGGTTACGAGGGAAGATTTTTCTGCTTCGTAGTTGGCTCTAAGGTCTGAGACTCTGTTGTCTGGCTGCTGCACTCAGGTTTTTTGTTTTTTGTTTCTTCTGGGAATTGGTGTTGGAATTGAACCTAGGACCTCATGCATCCTTTTTTTGGACAGGGTTTCTCTAGCTTTGGAGCCAGTCCTGGAACTAGCTCTTGTAGACCAGGTTGGCCTCGACCTCACAAAGATCCTCCTGCTTCTGCCTCCCGAGTGCTGGGATTAAAGGGCCGCACTACCACTGCCCAGCCGACCTCATGCATTCTAATTAAGTACTCTACCACTGAGCTACATTCCCAACCCTTTTCCTTTCTAAAAATAATTATTCTTTGAAAATGCCTTTATATAATGTGTTTGTGTAATATTATCCATCTACCTTTTCTTTGTTTTTTTTTTTATTTTAAACATAATTCTTTGTTGATTCTTTAGAAATTTCACATCATGCACCCTAATCCTGCTTACATCACAGTCCCTACATATCTGCCCCTCACCCCTGCAGTATGCCTCCCAAATTAATTAAAAAATAAAACAAAGCAAACAAATAACAAAAAGATTCTCCATTGTTCCAATATCTCTTCCTTCATCGTTCCAATATCTCTTCCTTCATCCTAGTGGCATCGGGAGCTGCAGTGTGTCACGCACTATATATACCCTGTGTCCAGTCAGTCCCACCTGTAAAAGTGCTCATTGCAATGACTCATTGGTCTGGTTCAACGTCTCTAGTTTCTGGTACACCATCATCACTGGGTCTTCATCAAAACTCCTCTCAGATACCCTGCTGTTGCCCCAAGTCATGGAGATCCTGCGGTATCATTTTGCAGGACCAGTCCCTTCACTGACTCCATCAGGCCATAGATGGGGTAGATGCTAGGGTGGGCCAACCCAAGGCCCAGGATGTGGGACTGGGTGGTAGCTGAGCTGATCAGGCTGGGCCATTGGGACTGCCCCCTCAGGTGAGGGGCAGAACCAGCTCTACTCAGCCCATGTCATCTGTGACCAGCTCTCCCAAGCCTGTGGTGAAGGGCAGGGCCATCTCTCCTGAGTGCTGGGGTCAGCTCTCTTGTGGAGGGGCATTGCTAGCTCACCTGTTGCAGTGTCCAGCAGAGGCAGGGACACCTCTTCTGGGGCCAGTGAGAGACAGTACTGGCTCAGCGTGGCTCTTGGATTTCAACATGCATGGTTCCTATGACCCTCTGTGGTAACCCAGCCATGCACATCAGTCCAGATCCTGGCTGCTGTTGGGCCACAGACCCAGACATGGCCCCATGGCACCAGCCTGGTGAAGCCCCATGTGGCTGCACAGGCTATACTCAGTTGGCATGGCCCCATGGCAGCAAGGTCCTCGGACACCAATATGGCCACATGTTCCATCTACTATTTTAATTAACGTATACTAATTGTGCAAAGTAAAGATTTTCCTTATGGCCTTTTCATGTATGCATGCCATATATTGTGGTCATATTCACCCCCACGTCCCTAATAATCTCCCTTTTACCTTCACGTTCTTTTAATTTATGATCTCCAGTTCTATCAATTTTCTTGAAAATGTCTTAGTTCCATTTTCTGTCTTTTGTTTTCTTTTGTTTTTCTTTGCTTTTTAGACGATCCTCTTGTCTTGGCCTCCAAATAGTAGGATTGTAAGTGTTCACTATAATACCCGGCATTCATCTTTGGAAGACCCCTCCCCCTGAGAGTTGCCTTGGTCCGGACTCCACCTCCAGGAAAGCCTGCCAAGCAGTGACCCCTCCCCAAGGAGGGTCAAAAAAAGCCCGCCAAGCAGAGGGGCCACTCCCACAGGCTATTGAGGCTGCCACCCAGAAAAGGAACACATGGTCTCGGGTTTCCCATGGTCTCCTTCCTCCTCACTCTCTTCCCCTCACCATGCTCCTGGCCATCTGGGGGCACTGCATTAAACGTGGGCATCTTTTATTCGGTCTAATTTGGTCTGATTGGAATTATTTGTGTTGGCAGACAGGCTCCTCTTAAGAATTATACCTGACATGCATCATCACATCTAGTTGGTAATATCATTCTTTATGGTTGACTAAAATGTCACTGTATGTATATATTATTTTTTTTATCCACTTATCCATTGTCCATTCAGATTTTCTGGATTACACTAAGAAGTCCTATCTCTACCTGTGATGCCTTTTATAGCTTAGTCTGGAAGCTTTCTCCACAAACCCCAACTCTAGTAAATACTGTGGTA